ACACACACACACACACACACACACACACACACACATCTCAGATCCAGGCACTATTCCCCTAAACCCTTTGAGCCACGCTATGGGACAGGTACTTTGCTTTCCCTGTATATAGGTGAAGATGCATAGAGGGTCAGAGAGGTTAAGCAACTTGCTCAAAGCCACACAGCTAGTAAGTGGATTTAGCCATGGCAGATACTCAAGAGGCTTTGGGTTGAAGGGTACGATTGAAAAAAACAAAACAAAACAAAACTGGAGAGCGGGCAGGAGACAGGGTCTGGGTCCAGGTTGCTACTGATTGGCCCTGGGGCTGGGACCTAATTCCTTACCTTGGGCTTTTGTCTCTTTATCTATAAAATGAAGGACACAGATGAAATCATCTTCCGGATTCTGTGATTCTTTCAGTCTGAATCTTAAAATGGAACCTTCTTCTCACAAGATACATTTTGGTTTCTTTGTCCCCTCCCCCATCCACTACACCTTCCTCCCAGAGCTTGGCCCTCAATTTCAGGGCTGAAAAGCTCATCTATAATCCAGGGGCAGTTAAAGAACCATGCCAGGCTGTGATCAATTAGCGAGAGTCTTAAGAAAGTGGTAATTTATTGCGTTTTGTGTGCTCGCTACGCCAGGAAAGCTAATATATGCTCACAGAAATGGAGGTACAAGACAGATGGCTGAAAATGCACGGCAGCACATATATTTTAAGTCTGTAGGTTTGAGCCAGAAATAAACGAGGGGTGTGACAGCTCCAGGGCAGAATGAGAGAGATGTCTTTTCAGGCAAAAAGGAGAAACTTGCCAATGATTAAATGGGCTAGTTTCGGTGATTCATTCATTGATCTAAGCATCTACGATGAGCCATCCCGTGACCGTGGTGGGAGAGATCACACAGACCCAGACAGTTGTCAAGGACACTCTCTGATGGGTGTGAATAATAGAACACCCTCAGCACTTACTGTCTGACTCATTCTCCGTGCAAATTAATGATCACAGTAACCCTCCGAAGCAGGTCCCATGATCATTCCCATTTCTCAGGTGAAGAAACTGAGTCACCAAGGAGGTTAAGTGACTTGCGTTGGGCTTCTAACCAAGTCAGGTGGCCCAGAGAGCCTGATGTCACCAGGACACTTTCTGCCTCTGTACACATTGCAATAGCTCTCTCTGTGAAATGTTTTAGTGGCTCTGAGTGTCTCTTTCCTCCCAAATGGTAGCATGTGAGAGCGGAAGTCACTTACGGGTGACTGAGCCCAGTGGGTTTCATGCCTCTCTAAACTGCATAAACTCGATGCTTTACTCACAGCTCAGTCTACAAGGTATAGAGAATGTTGTTCTCTTCCTTCCAGGGCCCTGAAGCCAGGGCTCCACAGAGCCCAGTGTGGAGTCAAGTGCTCCTGACTTCTCTCCCCTCCTTGTTCCCATTTTGCAGATGACGAAACTGAGCCCCCCAAGAGCCTATAGACCAGAGTGGAAAGGACTCATTCCCCACCTGTCAAATGAGGTAGTTGGATCAGCTCCAACATGATTTCCTAAGCACCCACTACTCTGTGCCAGGAGGGTCCCTGGGGTCTGAGGCAGAGCGACTGTGAGGACCCAGGAGGCGCTTCATGAGGGTCTGGCTCACGAGCATGGCCTCCTTTCACTGGGGCGGGGGGTGGGGGTCTTTGGATCGGCACAGTGGAGCCCTGTCCGTGGATCCCCGGAGGGGCATGTGATTCAGAGTCTGTTCAAGGAGCCCTCCTGCAAGGACTGCATTGTTCTCAGGTCTGGAACAGACCGCTCTGGGCCCTTGCTACCCGGGGGCCTCATGAGCAGGGCTGTTACTTTAGAGAGAAGAGTGGTGCTCTGGGTTGAATTGTGCCCCTTACAAAAGATACGTTAGGGGCGCCTGGGTGGCTGAGTCGGTTGAGCGTCCGACTTCGGCTCAGGTCATGATCTCGCGGTCCGTGAGTTAGAGCCCCGTGTCGGGTTCTGGGCTGGCAGCTCGGCGCCTGGAGCCTGCTTCGGATTCTGTGTCTCCCTCTCTGTCTGTCCCTCCCCCGCTCGCACTCTGTCTCTCTAAAAAATAAGTACACATTAGAAAGAATTAAAAAAAAAAAAAAAAAAAAAAAAAAAAGATATGTTGGAGCCCTAATCTTAGGACCTCAGAATATGGCCTTCGTTAAAAATAGGGTCTTTATGGGGCGCCTGGGTGGTGCAGTCGGTTGAGCGTCCGACTTCAGCCAGGTCACGATCTCGCGGTCCGGGAGTTTGAGCCCCGCGTCAGGCTCTGGGCTGATGGCTCGGAGCCTGGAGCCTGTTTCCGATTCTGTGTCTCCCTCTCTCTCTGCCCCTCCCCCATTCATGCTCTGTCTCTCTCTGTCCCAAAAATAAATAAACGTTGAAAAAAAAAATTTTTAAAAATAGGGTCTTTATGGAGATAACGGAGTTAAAATGAGGACACAGGGCGGGCTTCCGTCTAATATGACTGGTGTTGTTATAAAAAGGGGGAATTTGGACACAGACACATGGCGGGAAGATGGCCGTCTACAAGCCAAGAAATGCCTGAGGCTACTGGAATGGGCTACCTTGGCTATGGCTGGTAGGAGACTAACAGGGGTGGGGTCGAATCACCCCTGGCCCAAATCACATGGATCCTTTTTGTCTTGACTGATCTTGCCCTCACGGAGCAGATGCCTTTCTAGGTTTGCCACCATAAATTTCGGAGCCCAACGGTGTGTGCACACTTTTAAGGCTTCTGATGGGCTTGCTGCGGGAGCATCATGTCTTCTCTTGTAATCTGTGCCTTAAAAGGGTGGACGGCAGAGAACCAGACTCCTGTACTGGGTGCGAATCCCGAGATCCCTGGCATTTGGGAGACACATCGAGGCTTATTCTACAAACAACTCCCGGCCATGAGTGAGCGCTGGGTGACGAGGGGAACTTTCATCCCCACCCAAACCATCTCTCTCGTCATCGTTCCTTCTTCCGAATGCCTCCTCACCAGAGAAGCCTGCCATTTACTTTCCTTCCTACCACGTGGGGACAGCTGCTGGAATCTAGGAAGTAGACAGGGGTTGTAATCATAAACAGTTCTAAGCAGAGAAACTGAAAGTCCGCACGGTTTAGTGGAAAGAGAGTTCAGGGTGTCAGAGAAGTTATGGGTAAGCCAATGCCCTACAACCAACCGCTGCTGGTCCTTGGGGAGATCACATGAAACTCCTTGAACCTCAGACTCTTCATCTGTAGAAGAGCAATGGCCGTTTCCACCCTGCCAACCTCACTAGGATTCTGGATGCTTTTGTGAAGTGTTATATAAACTGAATAATCTATGGGGGAACCAGGCAAACAGTGGGTGCTTTGGGAAACTAGAATGTCTGGGGGACGGTATCGGTTCCCTATGGCTGTTGTAACAAACCAGCATAGACATGGTGGCTGAAAACAACAGACGTTCACTGTCTCACAGTTCTGGGGGCCAGAGGCCCCAAATCAGTTTCATGAAGCCGAAATCAAGGTGTCAACATGCTTCCCCTGGAGGCTCTTGGGGAGAAGCCATTTCTTGCTCCCGCAGCTCTTGTGGATTCTTGCCTGGAATCTGGTGGAGTTTCATGGATTCTTGGCTGGTGTTTCTTAGCTTATGGGTGCTTCACTCCAATTTCTGCCTCCATGGTCACACTGCCTCCCTCTCTTCTGTGTACCTTCCCGAGCCCCTCTCTCGTAGTCACATTTGTGATCACAGCTAGGACCCACCAGGATACTCCAGGATCATTTTCCCGGGTCAAGGTCTTTAACTTAATCGCATCTGCAAAGCCCCTTTTTCCTTATGAAGCAACATTTACAGGTCCCCGGGGTTGGGACCTGGCATCTCTCGGTGGCCACATTCAGCCCATTAGAAGGATGTTGCCAATTACAATGAGAAGTTGTGTATGTTTGTTAAGAGTTCCCTTGGTGTCATTGCCAAGGAATACATGGCCTGCTTGGCCAGATAATTTATATCCCAGATATTGTGAATGCCAACCCTGTAAGGGGAAACCATTAGCCTCATTTAGCAGATGAGGACACTGAGGACCAGAAAGGCAAAGGATGCTGCCCAGCTTGCAGCTGACGAGTAGTGGGGCAGGAGCCCAGCTCTAAAGTTGGCCTTCTTACACCCCATCTTCCTGTTGCCTGCAAAACAGACCACTGATGTGGGCGATCGATGTCCTCGCCCCACACGGCAGCCCTGGCTTCCACTCTCAGAAAAAATAAAATGACTCTGGCATCTTTGGGAGACCCGACCCCATGAGCTTCTGCTATCTGCAAATGCTCAACCTGGACGGCTGGCCCAGCACAGAGCCCAACATGGGGCTCGATCTCCCGAACCGTGAGATCATGACCTGAGCCAAGATCAAAAAGCAGACACTTAACCGACTGAGCCATGCAGGCGCCCCTGTTCTTTCTTTTTAAATCTTGTCCTTGGCTTCTGGAACAGGCAGGGCTATATTCTGTGCCCACTGGTTGCCCCTTCACTTATCATGGGCTTTCTTTCACTTGCTTATTATTTCCTTTTTCCATGGGGATTATTTTGTTGCACCTGAGACTTTCATTATAAAGTACATTGAAATATATTAAGTATATTTTGAGAGTAGGAATGGCGTACAGATCAGAGGCAAACAGGACTTTCCTTTTGTTGTGCACAAAAAAATGGAGGAAACCATTTTCTTAAGTGAAAGTGAGTACTCAGGTTTCAGAGGCCTAAGTGTGTAGGGTTGATAAAGCCTCCACCCCCAAGCCAGGTCAACCCATCAACAGCTAATGTTGGAACTCCAAAGGGCCTCTTATATCTGTTATTTTGTTCACCCTTCCAACAATACTGTGAGAGGACGTGGCCATTACTAATACACTCATTTTTCAGACGCTAAACGACATGGCTGATGTCACAGAGCCACGACTTGCACCTCAGTCTCCCCTGTGGGTCACACAACGGACCTGGAGCCCTACCAGACTCCCTGCGCGGCCACAGAGCGGGTGCCGGCCGGTGAACCTTACCTGCTGTGGCCATAGCTTTTGGGAGCGTGGTACATGAAGATGTTTCCTCGGGCTCTCCGGGCCCAGTGCCTGGCCATGTCGATCACAGGACAGGTGATGAAGTAGTCCCTGGGCAAATGAGGCAGAGGAGGGAGCTTTGTTATATGTAGCAGCTCTATATACCCAGCGTAACTGAAGACACCCCCAATGCCCAGGAGACATTTGACAATGTTTGGGAGACAGTTGTGGTTGTCACAGCTGGAGATGAAAAGGTTCTTACTGGCATCCGGCGGGGAAGGGCCGGGAAGGCGGCTAAGTATCCCACAATGCCCGGGACGGACCCCAGAGCAAGGAATCATCCAGCTCAAAATGCCAACCGTCAGGAGGTTGAGAACGCTGTTCTAGGTTCCCCAAGCTTCACGTTTGCTCCCGTTCTGGGGGCTGATGGAAAGATGTTTCAGAAGCTCCAGCTTACAACGGTGGGGTCGTGCGTGGGCCGGTACTCAAGCACCGTGCTGTAGAGGGGGCCTGGTCAGAACCCCACAGACCTCGGGCGGCCTTGGGTCCACCAGGCTCTGAATCCCAGTCAGCGGCCCCAGCATCTTCTTGACCCGCCATATCCTCAGCTGAGAAATGGGGCCTAGGGGACCCATCCTGCAGGGACTTTGTGACAACTGAGGCTGGTAACAGTCATGAAAGTCCCTCAGTGAAGAGGGTTCGTCTCCCCCTTTTTCTGGCTGTTGAGATGAACTCCTTTGTGGAGTCTGGAGGCAGCCAGAGTGTTTATAGGAAAGCTCTACGGTGGGGTGGGGTCACTGGGGTGTGGAAGGGCACATGGGGCAGCCATGCTTCATACCCTGAAGAAGAGGTGTAGTAAGCAGGACCAGGAATCAGGCCTACGGGAAAGAGTCACAGCTCGCACCGGTGGAGGGGACACTGCCGAGGGCAGGCAGGGAGGCCACTGTCTGAGCCTAGCTGGGAGGCAATGAGGGCCTGAGCTGGGGCGGGGGGCTGGATTCCCTTGGTGAAACCCTCTTCGGTTACCAGCCCTGCCTCACCCCTCAGCTCTTGCCCCAGGGCACAGATGTCTTCAAAGCCCATCAGAGGCAAAGTCGGAGCGAAAGCGAGGGTTTCTAAACTCCAGTCCTGCTTGAGCTCTCTCAATAACCCAGATCAGAGCCAGTCCTGACGGGGTTAGGAGCCAACAAGGGTCCAGAACTTGGACATTGTTGAGCTCTTAGAGTTCAGTCTGGGGCTGGGCCTGCAGAAATAGCTGCTGGCTGCAGGGTTGAAAACTGAGCTCTCTGCTCGAGGGAAAATTAAAGCCTTTCTGGTTCCCAGATTCCCAGTGGGCAGGGCCACGTTTTATTCTGAGCTAGTGACTCTGAGATTGGAAACCACAGACTCCCAGATGGGGAGACCTAGCTGGCCAGGGGGTAGCAACACCCTTCAGGCCGTCCCTTCCCGGCACAGTCCAGTGCTCATCCGTGACCTGAGCGTCACCGAGGCCGGCACCAGTGTGACGGCAGGAGCCCGTGTCCCCTCGGGCTTACCGGGTGGCGTTCTCCAGGGCTCGGGAGAAGGAGGCATAGTCATCAGTGGAGTGCTCTAGGGAATAGTACCATGTTGCAGCCGCCCAGACCCCGGCGTCCGCGTCCTCACCGCCCAGCGAATTCTGCAGCGCCTGGTAAAAGGCTGTTTTGCTACTGGTCCGGCCTTGACTTTCCTCAAATTGCTTAAGAAAAAAAAAAATTTAAAAAAAGAGAGAGAGAAAAGAAAGAAAACACCCTATCAGATTCTGAAAGTCTGGAGTCAGTATCCTGCAAAGCTTGTTCTAGAAATTTCTCTCTGGGCCATGGTGTGAAGCACAGGCACGTTGGAGCCAGGCCGCCAGGGTTCAAACCTCAGCTCTAGCTGTGTGACCGCCAACAGGCGGCCGTGGCCCTCCGTGCCCGCCTCTCCTGGCCTGGAAACAGACACAATGAACCAAAACGGAGAACACGCGTCAAGTACTCCAGTGGGTGCGCATAAACGCGAGCCATTATGGCCAGCGGGTAAGGGTCACCCTGGGCTCCATCCTTTTACTCCGTCAGCCAGCTCGTGATCCGTTCTGCTAGGAGAGCTAACGTGAGCCTCATCCGGTGACGTGATCAGTCAGCAGAGGAGTGCTTTCTGCGCATTCACGCAGAGCAACAGCCTCTTCTTCCAGACCCAGCTGCGTGCCGGGCCTGGGGAACAGCCGTGGACGCACTGATGAAGCTCCCTGTTCTCGTGGGCCTGGCGTCCCAGTGGGCGGAGGCAGGAAAGAAGCAGATCATTCTAGTTTATCAGGGTTCTGGTGCCACGGGGGGAAACAGCAGGTTGAGAGGGATGGGGTGGGGGCTAGTTTTCTCGGAGTGGTCGAGGCAGGCACGCAGCTCTCTGGGGAGGCTTGTCCGAGTATCTTTTCCTCTCTCTTTCCTGCCCCCATCCTCCTTCCCTTCTTCCCTCCCCCCTTCCTTCCTTCCCTGTCCAGACATTCCTGCTCTCTGCATCAGGGCCGTCTGGGAGGACCATCTCCCTGCTCCCCGGGACTCAGTTTCCTCATTTCTGAAGTCAAGGGGCAGCAGGGTGTCAGAGATGCAGCTCTTGAGACCCCTCGGCCCCTGCGCAATCCTACGCTGTGTGTTTACATATTTCTAGGCTCTTATATCAACAGTGAACTGTGCTTATCGAGACGCCCTGGTATGTTTAAATTGTTTTTGTAAACATTTCCAAGCGTACAGGACCTGTGATTAGAATTTGAGGTGTGGGCATGATGGGGAAGCAACCCTTTCTGTCTGAGACATTCTTTCAGCCCATCCTGGGGGGCGGACCTCAGCCTGGCTCACCCGGAAGAGGCTGGACCAAGTAGTGGAACAACTGTTCAAGGCCATGTCTATCCGTTCAGGGGAGGTGAGGGATAGAGAGCAGAGAGGCATTCAAGGACAGCGTCCTTTTAATTCTATCTATAATGTGTGGTTCTTGGGAGAAGATCTGAAGCAGACATGGCAAAATATTAATATCTGTTAAAAATGAAGAGTGAAGGGGCGCCCGGGTGGTTCCGTCGGTTAAGCATCTGACTTCAGCTCAGGTCATGATCTCGCAGTTCGTGAGTTCAGGGCCCCGAGTCGGGCTCTGTGCTGACAGCTCAGAGCCTGGAGCCTGCTTTGGATTCTGGGTCTCCTTCTCTCTCTGCTCCTCCCCCACTCCTGCTCTGTCTCTCTCAGTCTCTCAAAAATGAATAAATGTTAAAAAAAATTTTTTTAATGAATAGAGAATACAAGAGTATTCATTATATCAATGACTTTCAGGTATTTTTCAAAAGTATTTATTTACTTATTTATTTAGTTTGAGAGAGAGAGAAGGGGAGAGGCAGACAGAGAGAGACAGAGAATTCCAAGGAGGTTCCACTCAGCACAGAGCCTGATTCGGGGCTCAATCCCATGACTGAGATCAGGATCCGAGCTGAAATCAAGAGTTGGACGCTTAACCAGCTAAGCCACCCAGGTGCTCAAGTATTTTTGACCATAATCTATAGTAAGAAAGACATTTCATCCACCAGAACACATGCACACACACACACACACACACACACACACACACACACACAGGCCAGAAATAATGTTCATGAAGGACCCTCATGCTCCTGGCTCTTACCATATATGACAGACCTGATCGTTTCCATTCCATTCTATTCTAGTCTAACCTAGTCTGCTCAAAATCTTGCCTGCAATCTCTTTAACTGACTTCATAACCTACTAGCAGTTCAGGGGAGAAACTGCATTATATTATTCTCTGCCCTTTTCTGAGTTTTTGGAGTATTTTATGACAGAAATACCAGTACCCACGCGCGTATCTCCCATTATTGCCAAACATTTAACATGCGTATTTCACCGACGTATCAAAATCACCACGTGCATTGGAAAATCGTGTGGAATCGTTGCCAGATTGCAACACGACATGCATAGAAAGGGTGGCTTAGCACAGTTCTGGGCACACTGTCAACAGAGGGGAGTACTATTGACCTGTTTCCAGGCTAGGGCAGGGGCTTTGCATCCCCTCGTGATGCTGTGCTCAATCCCCAGATGCTGGTAGTGTTTGCTTGTCAGCTGCTCCAGAACTACAATGCAGCACAAGGGGCCCACAGTGTTCAGCATGGCACCTAGTTGTGGGTTCTCGGTAAATGTGTTGGAAACACGGTTTGTGAAGATACCGGCCTCTGTGGAGATAACACAGGCTCGAAGCTACAAATAGACACCAGAGTCCGACCTCCTGGGTTCAAATTCCCAGAGTTGGAGAGGCCTGAGCTTGGATGCTAGCCCTGCCACTTAGCAGCTGTCTTACCTTGGGCAAGTTACTTAATCTCCCCGTGCCTTTGTTTCCTCCTCTGCAAAGTGGGCACAGCGATATTACCCTCTTCATGAAATGGTCATGAGGTTACACGAGATGATACCTCCACACTTCTCAGCATAGCGTGTGCTATTATTGCTAGATGTTTGTAGACTCAGCCTTGTGTCCCGCCCAGATGGGTCAGGGATGCCCATGTCTTAGAGGCTACATCGATGCCGGTCCCGTCAGCAACCCCTCTTCCCTGCTGCCGAATGACTGGCCCCATCTAAAGGGCACGGCCCCTTCACGAGCTCTTTGGAAACGATTTCCACAACGAGGCGGCTTTTAAGAGTGGCAGACCACCAAGCCCTGGTCGTGCTGGAAGAAGTGCCTCTGACATACAAGAGTCTAAACAGCTCCCCAGCTAGGAAGCCGGAGGGACGGGCCTGGTTTGTGCGCCCAGGAGACCGTGATTGCTGTCACATTTTCAGGGGATCTGAGCCGGCGGCTGAGACTAGCCGGGGCGTGGCCTTGTTGGCCGGTCATAGTCTCCAGACGGATGGCGTGTGGCCTCCCGGCCCCCTGGGACCACGCGGGACTGCGAAGGGGCCCGTTTCCAGCAAGAGCCACATCTCTTCATTCTTGGCCGGGACCGAAGCACAGATGCTGTTTCTAGTTTAATTAGAGAGTCAGCAGGAGGGATGGGGGCCACCACGTGACTCCCAGCACCGACTTGCACAAGCTGTAATTACAGGCGCAATCCGCCTCCGAAGCGGGTTTGCTAGGGGCTGAGCCCTGTTAAAGGCCATCAAGAGCTGGCTCATCGTCCTCCGTGTGTGTGTGTGTGTGTGTGTGTGTGTGTGTGTGTGTGTGTGTGTTGAAAGGACTGCCGTTAATATGTCCTACAGAAAAGTTCCAGCCTGTTAGGAAACTTCTGAGACCGTGAAGGGCTTCCCAGGGTCCGGAATGCCTCGTGGCCTAGCCCCCAGAGCACGGGGTCTGTGTTTGAGAGGCGCGGGTTCGAACCTGGCTCTGGTGTGGACCTCGCAAGATTCCCTGCCGTCAATAAATCTGCTCAGTGAATATTCCTCTCTGGGCCTGGGGCTGATGCTAGAATCAAATGAATGAATGATTACCAAGCGGCTGACACGCAGGTGACAGCACATATCCCTTCTCTCTCTCCTCTAGCCAGTAAATCACTGAAAATAAATGTCCTTATGTTCACTCCAGGGTTGACAGACGTCAACCTGCTTTGCTGCAGGGCCTTTACCTTCGATCCACTATTCCTGCAACAAATTTCTACCCAGTGCCTGCACCTGCCAGGAGCGTTTGGGATGCATCAGGGAACAACACAAGATAAATTCTCTGCCCTCTGGGGGCTTCCAGTTGAGCTGGAGAGCCTGATGGGTACCTGACAGGTTTTGTAATATAGAAAGTTCGGCGGTGAAAAGGATATGACACAGACGAGGCCAGCAGGGCAGGAAAGGGGGTGGGGGTCCCGGACGGCGAGGGCTGAAATTGCAAATTGGATCATCGGGGTGGGCCTCAGGCCAGCAGAGCCGAGACTTGGGGAGGTGAGGGTGAGGGTGTGAGCAGCCGAGCGGGCAGGAGTGGAGGCCAGTGTGGCCAGTGCAGGGGAAGAGGGCAGGGGAGCCAGAGATGAGACAGAGGGAGGGAGTGGAGGGCGGAGCGGCTGGTGTGGCCCCACCTGCTGTTGCTTCAGGAGGGGCCGGGAGAAGGGCCCTCCGTTGCAGTTTGCAGGTGCCGCCCGCCAGGGATGGGGGTCCGTGTCCGGGAGAGGCAGAACAGCCAGCTGCCAGGGGCCTTTGAGTCGGAGCCCCCTGCTCTCTGGGCCAGTGAGGAGCTCACTCGCCACTTCTTCCTACTGGTCCCTTCTCCTGCCACGCCAATCCCTTGATGCGGCTGCAAACCCCAAGGTGATCTTCAGAGATCTCCCCACACCCCCCGGGGCTCTGATGCGGAGAGAGATGGCCATCTGGAGCCCTCCCTGAATCCCGCCCCTCTTCTTGGACCAGGCAACACCTCCTTCCTCTGGGGCTGGGGCCTCGCTGCCCAGGGCCCCCGGGATGCCCCCCTCCACTTCTTCGGTGGCGTCACCGGGCAAATCCCCTCTCGTAGGACCTTCAAGGTGTAGCTCTCCACGACTCCACCCCCACCGAGGGCTAAATGCCGACGGACGTCCCTGCCAAGGATGGTCTCTGTCTGTATGCCCTGCCCCCGGGGCGCACACTCAGCAGGAGAGTCCCTTTAGTCCTTACCCCACAGCCCTCTGGCTCCTGCCCTGTCCCCACCGGGCCACCGTCTCCAGGGCCACTGATGGTGCCCCTCGACCCACCCGGACCAACGCTGCCGTCGTTCACAATT